AAAAAAAAAAAAAAAAAAAAAAACAGGGAAATACGATTGTGCTTTTCACCTTCAAAGACAATCCCACCTTGATTTTGGAACCAAGATGGAGACAATTTTTACTAACTCTAATCACCTTTTACATCATCTCCTAGGTTTTCTGATCTTCAAACTTTTGATCAAACAAGAGCCTTCTTATTGTTCTTCACTCTCAGTACCAAACTGGAGTGGTCAACTAACTTACCGAAACGAACTTCGCAATTTGTTTACGGCCCCTTTCTGCTGTGAATTCACCGTGTGTGATCCACTTGATATTTTTGATGGGGTTTTCAGCATCTGCGAACAGGTGTGAATTTGTTAGTTGCCTGGTAGTGTGGAACTACATAATGAGACAATTGTTTAGGTACTCAAACAGGATTACTACCTTCCACAAACTCAACAGCAGCATCGATGGCATCCTTAACTATAGCTAGAGCTACGGCAGTCACTTTGCTATCATCTTGGTTATCTGTCTGCCCGTGGATTATAGGTCTGTCATCAAATCTCACTTTCTTCTTAATGTTGACATTTTTACTCACATTCATTTTCTTTTGCCTGGAAAAGGAAATTTAAGAAGTTACTCTCTGCACCCATGTGTGTATATCATACATGTGAACACACTCATATAAATACAATCTCTTGAAGAATCACAAGATACAAGAAACAGTTGTTACCTCTAGGGAAGGGATTAAGGGGTTAGAGTAGGAGTGAGATATCACCGTATACCTGTTGTGCTTGGCTGCTGAGATCTGCTTTTCCTGAAAACCAAGGTTTTTCATATTCTCAAAACCATGAAGACTTAAATTGAAATGTAGTATAATGATTTCTAACTTGTTTGGAGTGCTAACAATATTGATTTCTAGTTGAGTCTTTAATAGAACCCCAATCCCTGCTACAAGCAACTGAAAGCATATGGCTCTTTAAAGATAGTGAATTAAAATGATTAGCAGCATTATAGCAGACGAGGGGTTGGTTTTGCAGTTTTTTTCTCTTGGGTTTTCCAGGTACAGTGTACAATTATATCATCTCCAAGGAACTATCATTTTTACCATCTCTTTTTCAGAAACATATATCTCTTATGAATATTAGCTTTGGTTAACACTTCCAGAAAAATGTTAAATGAAAGTAGACATAATGAGCATCCTTCTTTTGTGTCTGACTTCAGCGGACTTGCTTTCTGGTGCTACACCATTAGGTATTATGCTAGTTTGTAGTTTTAGATTTATCACATCAAGAAAATATTTTCTCCTGCTCTAATGAGATTTTTATCATAAATGATAGCTAAAATGTTCCCAATGCCTTTAACATCTATTGACAATGTGAAAATTGAAGTTATCAGGGCTGTGAACATGGGTCCATCACAGCACTAGGAATCTTTGCACATTTTCAGTCTTTTTTACATTTTTTCCCTTGAGTCTTAGATTCTCTTTCTTTCTCTGCTACTGCTTAAGTCTCTTTACTTATGAGAACTCTCTTACAGACAGCACAGTCTATTTTATTTTATTTTATCTTTTGCCAGCACAGTTATAAATTCCTTGCAGGTAATCCTTGCATTGGGGACGGGGGGCTGCATGAGAGTGGATATCTCTCTCCAAAAGGGAGCTATTTATTTTCTATAAATAACAGCTCCCAATTTGGGGGTGTTAAATTGTTGTGTTTCATTTAGCTATCACCACAGCCCTATGAGATCATGCATTAGATGCCTTCCATTTGTCCTTCCAGACCCACTCTCCCCCTATCTCTCCCTGCTCACTGCCCTGGAAGGCTAACCTGACTGGGCCAGTGCATGAGCTCTCCTGTGCCCTGTGGCTTCCAGGAGGTTCCACACAATAAGGAGATCAGCCTGAAGGGAAGAGGGTGAGGTCCAGGTATATATCCCTGGTGGCTCTCCCCTGATAGGGTTGCCTGTGGCTGGCTGTATGGAGAAGGTCCCAGTTTCTTTCAGGACAGCTTTCTCACACAACTTCTCAGTCTAGTAAGGGTAACCATTCTTTCCCGTCCACCCTTTTGCCCCCCCATTACTAGCCCAGGGAGCTGCACTTTCCTTTGTTTCCCTGCACTCTGGCCACACCTTGGTAATTATTCCCTTTACTTAACCCTTCTCCACTATCCTCATTTTAGCACGCCTACAGTTTCCTACCAGGATCCTAAATCATAAACAGAGGACCTCTCGTTGCCATGTGAAAATGAGGAAACTGAGCTGCATACCCAGACTGGCTCCATAACCTGTGCATGTAATTACACTGCTCTTCTCCCTCCAAGATTCAGAAAGGGTGGCGGGGCTGAAGGAGCTTAGGAAATTTCACCCCAAAATATGACTTCTTGGTATAAAGAGTATTTTGAATTAAGGGCCCTTAGAGATCAACAGGCCTTGGAAGGGGCTTTCACTCTATCTGAATAAATCAGACCCATCAAAAAGAACAATTGACTTCCCTTCCCCCTCCCTGTTATCTCAATATATTGCAGGAAAGATGATCAAGAATGCAACCAGACCTGGCCCAAATCATTTTAAATATAATACCTCTCTCTCAGGTTAATTTGCAAAGAGAATCATTTACAAGTTAATCTGTTTCCCCCATCCATTCATCCTCCTTACCAACCATTTATTGCCCCTAAACAGAATTACCTCTATTCCTCCTCTCCCCCTCTCCTCTAAAAGGAGGGTATAAAAATTTCTGGACCGCATAGGGATATTGGGTAATCATTCTGTGATTCTCATATTAATCTGCCTTAATTGTGAGTTGGATTTTCAGTAAACTTTAGGACAAAAGGGGAAGTTTCCCCCACCCCCACAGGGCTCTGTTCTCACATTTTCATCTGGAGTCTAGAATGTGCCTACCCTCTCCCTGTGAGCCTTTGTTTGCTCTCTCAACATCATTATTGATCCCAGTGGTGGTGAATACTGCACAAGACAAAACAGTTGCCATGAACATCAGTCCAAGAATGATTTGAACAGCCTATTAATATTCCTGTAATAGTGTTGATTGGTGTTCATTTAGGCCTTCGCGTTAGCATTTTAACCTGAGTTTGCCTCCGCCTGAGTTCCCTGTTGCTGCAGCTGGGGGGTAGACAGGATCATCTGCTAGGGAAAATGGAATCTTTCCAGGCTGCCCACTCCAGAGCAGAAATGGCTAAAGGATAGGGGGCGAGGGGTCTGAAGGCCCTTAACACTAGAGAACTGGCTCTCCCTAGCCCATAGGTCATGATGATTTGGCCAAAGCAATTTGCTGTAAATTCTGTAGTTAAAGACAGCCACACAAAAGTTTTTGTGTGAATTGGTAAATTCAGTAGTAGGCTTTGGTGAAGTAGCCATGCAGCAACTTGATCTTCAGAAAATTGCCCATTTGGTGGCTTGGTCACTCACTGACTTGGCTTTCAGCAAATTGCCTATTGATAAATAGACTAGAAACCAAATCTGTGACCTCAAACACTAAGCAAATGGAGTGGGGACTTTATGCATGGAAAGACCTCCTATAGACCTTCCCAGGGAGCCCTGTGCTATAGCAGGAGAGGGAAAGTGGAGAGCAGGGCCCAGGAAGAAGCTCACTTTTTATCCTCCCATGTCTATAGACAAGCATCATTCTTAAGACTCCCTCCTACTGGCCTTGCCTAGTTCTTTTTCTTCCCTTCCCTTCCTAATAAGAGGCCAGATGGACAGGATGAATGAGAAGAGATGGCAGCATGGTCAGGTTTGGGGTCTGGGTGATGAACAGGGAGAACCACTATAAGTCCTTTTTGTGGGCTCCCCCACCCCTAAGGAGTCACAGTACCTGAGCCACCAGATCCTTGTTTCAAGCAGTAGCAGTGGTAGCTGGGGAAGCCTAAGAAGGAGTCTCTAAGCAGCTTTTCCCCAAGATTGCCAGACAGAATGTTTACAGGTGCTGCCAGGGCAACACCAATTCAACCAATGGGAAGCAAAGCCCACGAGTTTCTGACTGCTTCTATTAGTAAAGGCGGGTGAGATAGTGAGGGAAGGAGGAGGAGAGTCAGTCACTGCAACTGTCTAACCTCAATAGCAGGACAAGCTGCAGTAGCCATATCTAGTGTCTTTTTCTTTTTCTTTTCCTCCACATTCAGATCACGGAGACTTTTCAGCAGCAGATGAGCTTGCAGAGCTGTGCCAGGAGAAGCACTGATGCTAAGCCTCGCAGCTGGTATTGAAGTGGAAGACTGGAAAATTCCACTAAAGTGGAATTCTTAGAAATTCCACTACCAGGCTTTCTTCCTCGTGGTCCTTACCTGGGCCCCCTACTGCCCTGTGACCTTGCCCCTCATAAATCACCTATAGCAATTAGTGTACCAGGCTGTAAAGTAGCTTAGGACCCTGCCTCACTAAAGTTAACCCTGTTGTAGCCGTGCCCCTCCTCCTTAAGCAGAGTGTATAAAAGACTGCAATGCTCTTTGTCTGGTGCTCAGAATTTGGGGAGAGCAAATTCCCCTCTGGGCCATTTGCCGGCCGGCCTATAAAACCTGTTTTTGCCAAAATCTCTATGTGTGTCTCTCGGTCTATTCTCGGTCAGCCCTGCCGTAACACTATGTTTTGGGTATCCTTATGATGTGCCAGGCACTGTGTTAAGCCTTTGGTGTGTGTTAAGTCACTTACTCCTCACAATGGCACCATAAGGTAGGTATTAGTACTTTCATATTACAGTTGAACAAACCGAGGCACAGAGAGTGTTAAGTACGTTGTCCTAAACTCAAACCCAGAGATGTCTGACTTCATTGACTGAGATTTTACTTTTTTATTCCCAAATTCTGAGGTTAGGACTGCCATTGTGTACTTGATTATTTTCAAAGATGTGTTTTATGGATCAAGGATGAAAGAGTATACTATAATCGTTATCAGCACAGACACAGGAACAATTTACATAACATTTTTCTTTGTTTCCTTGTCTGTAAATTGGGGACAATAATAATGCCTACAAAATAGGGTTTTTATGGAGCTCAAACCAGACAATTTATGTGAAGACTGAGCACAATGCCTGGTACATCATAAGCTTTCTCTATAATGGTTAGATATTTCTAATGTTATTAATAGTAATGGTATTATAAATGGTATTCTTTTAAATGATCTTAACCGGTGAAATGAAAAGCTAATGACCCTATGTCAGGACCCAGTTTTATTTTCTTAATTTTACTAGTCCCTGAACCCCTACCCTTAACTATGCTCCACAGATGGAGTGGTTGCTCACTATGAGACAACGGATCTCAATCCCAACAAAGGAAGAAAAGTGCTCTGTGAAGTGTCTTTATCCAGCAAGAAATGCTGAGCTCACTGCCTGGAAGACATCACATACTTTGAGGTCCCGTACTCAGAGATTGTGCTGTGGACACGGAGCGGTGAGGTAGGTGAATGGGCATGGGGAGGGGGAAGTGTGGGAGGCAGTGTGGCTTAGTAGGAAGAACACAGACCCTGAATACAGATGGAAGGTTTCACATCCCAGCTTTGCCACATACTGGTGTGATGTTGTGACTTCAGACAGGTTGTTCCACCTCTCTGAGACTCTTGTGTACAATGGGGATCTTAATAGTCACTGCGCAGGGTTGATGAGAAGATAAAATGAGACGATCATTCAGAGAACTCAGATCAAGGATGGGCACACTGGAAATGCTCAGTAAACATTGGTTACCACAGTCACGATGAGGATGGGACTAGCCACAACAGGCAGAATCCAAAAGCAGAGGAATCAGAAAGAACTGGGGAATCAGAAAATAAAACTGGGTCCTGATATAGGGTCATTAATATTTCATTTCACCAGTTAAGATCATTTAAAAGAAT